ATCAGCAAGCAGGAGTAGAAGTGGGGCCCCTCCATTGTCCATCGCAAATGCTTCTAGATGGACTGAGCAGGTGCCAGGCACCTGCTGCATGTGCTGAATCTGAAGTATAAATTTGCTCTGGCAAATTTGAACCTAGAATAAGCCTTTGAAAAGAAATTGTTCTTGAAGCTTGTATCTGATGTCAGCACCGGAACGTAGAACTCGTTGCTGATTTTGACCTTGTATTCAAGTTAACTGTTCCTTTGGTATATGTTTAATGCCCTGTGCATATCTGTGATTTAAGCCCTTAGTCCATGCGGCTAGGTCACCTGGTACCTGAGGTGAGAGCGTGCATAAAGGAGAGAAGTACGTGGCTTAGCGAATCTGAGACCACAGCAGTGATCTGTGCAGGGTATTCATGTGTCAGCTGACAGACTTCCTGGATTGCTGCGGCTGGCAAGAGTTCCTGGGCCAGCTGTCACTTCTTGTGGTCCAACAGGGTGGGAAAGTCCGAGCCTTAGGACCCAGTTTCCGTTCTTACCAATGTTCTCCCGCCTGACCACCATTGGTTATTACTTGCCTTGAGTTAGAAACAGTTTGCATTTATATCTGTAAATTTATTCATTTTAATTTATGTAAGGTTTTTTTGTACTTAATTCTTTATCAGATGACAAATTTTTGGTTTTCTACTGTTATGGGAGAACATTAGGCCCCAGCAACACTTCATTGAGTAAGGAAAAATAAAGTGCTACAGAAAAAAAAAAAAAAAAAAGGGGGGAAAATAGCATCTTATTATTTGAAAAAAGGAGAAAGAACACTGGAAACACAAAAACAGAAGCTATCAATTATGAACTTGATTCCAAGTTTCAAACCTGATTTTGTGGTATAAAATGCAGTTTTATTTCCCCCTAGATGAAAAGTTGTTTTAAAAAAGATAGATGGAAACCAAATGTGGTGGTTCGATCCTGCAATCCCATCAGCTTGGAAGACTGAGACAGCAAGATCAGGAGGTCAAAGCCAGCCTCAGCAAAAGGGAGGTGCTAAGCAACTCATGAGACCCTGTCTCTAAATAAAACACCATGTGGCTCAGTGGTTGAGTGCCCCTGAGTTGGATCCCCAATATCCACCCCCCAAGAAAAGGATACGGAAATTGTGACTAAACATAACAGGGATTTTCACATCATTTTTCCTGAAAAACAAAACAATATTTTTTGATCCCAAAAATGTAAGGAAAATTTCAGACTTGGATCTTTTCCCTCAAATCCCCGTTCAAAACTGGAGGACCTATTTCCACAACTGTTGGGAGTACTGGCAGCTGACTACCCTCCCCAGGAATTGCCTTCACCTGTGGAGAACTACTTAGGATCCATGCAGTGTTAAAAAGCCTCTCCTTCTTCTAGACCTACCTACCTTGGGTTCACTCTGAAGACTTTCAGGCCTCCAGAGCTCCCTTCGGAGGTTCGTTGAGACCAAATGACAGCACCACATCTCTTTGCAATATCCTCTTTGCTCCCTTTCCTTATGTACAAGAGTGATTCCTGAGAGCAGTCCCTAATCACCTTTCTGTTATCTAACCTCCATCTCAAAGTTGGCATCCATGAGAACCCAACCTTCTACAATTTGGTATGTTTTTCCTGAAGCTGCAGGATGACTTGAGTTTGACTAGTAACTGAAAATGATTGAAGGTTAGTGGGAAAGGTATTTACATGTTTGTAATGTTTCTTAACACTTTTATTTTAAATGTCTATTTAAATGAAATGTATGCACTATTTGGTTAACATGGGATATCTAATATCTTATTTCCTATTCTTATTCCAAGTTAACAGACCTATATAGGAGGTAAAAGCCTCTAAGAAAAAAAAAATCCCTAAAAGTAGTAACAAAATACTAATCTGGGTCCTTCAATAACTATGCTTAAGGGAAGCTAGCAGATTAGATAAAAATATAATACGTAACTGTGTAGATTGTGTTGGGTATGTATATTTACTGGGGAAAGAGAGAATTCATAACCACCATGAATTTTCTCAAAGGAGCCTGTGACACAAAGTTAAGAAATTGGAGCACTGGTTCCCAAGTTGGTCTCGTAGGAACCATCAAGTGAGGAAAAATCACTGGATTTTTGTCCAGAGTGTTTCTGAGTGGGGATGGGCTCAGACATTTTCAACAAGTTCTCAAAATGATTCGTAAATAAAATTCAATGGACCAAAATTTGAAAAATGCTGACTTAAAAATCAAAGCATAGTTCTGTGTAAGTTTCTATTGCTGGTGAGCATATTACCCCATAATTAGAGACTTAAACAACACAAGTACAGTTGGATAGTTTGGCTTCTGGGCTAAAATCAAAGTACTAGTGAGGCTGTGTTATTTTCTGAGGACCCTAGGGGAGAATCCATTTCCTCACTTTTACCAGCCCACCCACCTTTCTTCACTCTTGCTCCCCTCCCCTTAACTAAAAAGGCAGCAACAACTGCATCTCAACCCATTCTTAAGGGATCTGCTCTCCCCGTTGCTCCTCCTGTGCCTCCCTCTTCCAATTATCAGGGCCCAAGATTACACTGATTCTACCCATATGGGTTGGTCTCTCTATATTAAATTCACCTGATTAAAAACCTTAATTTTTGTCTTCATCCTTGATCCCTCTTTGCCAGGTAACCTAGTGTATTCACAGATTATGGAGGTTACAATGTGGGCATTTTGAGGGCGGCCTTTCTTTTGCTTACTACAAATTCCTTTGTCGTGCCCAGGGAAAAGTCTTATTTTCCCCTTAATCTTATGTTTAATAACTCAGTTAATGAGCCCCCAACCCTTGCTATTATAAAATCATCTAGTCAGTAGAATTAATAATTACTTGGAACTACTGAAACTATTGTTTTCAATAAATAGCACTAGTCAGAGGGGTACCAGCCTGGTAGCTCCTTGAGGTCAAGCATCATGTCATTTTTATTTCTGTAACCCTTGGAACTTTGTTCATTAACTGCCAACTAATCAGCATACAGATAATGAAACTGAATAATTGTGATGGTAATCTTCATGTTTAATTAACAAAACCAAAGTCCTACTCTCTCTTTTAAAGATTCTTTTACACAGAGCAGCTAATAGCATGATTCAGATCCTTCTCTCATTGCACTTAGCAATTGCTACTTATCATGAGTATTTAGTGTCACTCTCCTCTCTTACAAGCAAAACTATTACTGCTTAACAACTGCATCCCAAAAGCTACCTTGGATTTCATACTTGCTTTTTTGGGTTAGCCAGCTATCAGTTGATTTTAGGCAACTGCATTATGGGTGGGAGAAGCATAGTCAGTTAATGTGTGGAGAAGCATAACAGTTAACGTGCTGTTTTTGACAATAGGAACTGTCCTGTCATGTGTTAGACCCTACACTGGATTTCGTATACACACATACTTGCCAATTTAAATATTCAAAGGATATTCACACCAAAGGTAGAAAATACATGTTGAATGTGTTCAAGTCCTGATGTAATACTTCTGCCTGTGGCTACCAAGTTCCATTAGAACTAATCCTTTATTTAATCCATGTGCCAATGTTTTACACCTTTAAGTACTTTCCAAGTTGAATATTTAATGAGCACACAATACCTTTGATATTCCATATCTTCTATCTCTTGTTCTGCTCTAGCTGAACCTTTTGTCCTTTTAACCTGCTTCAATGCTTGGGTTTCTAATATAATTAGAAATGAGGAATGTAAGGTAGAATTTATACAGGATGTCTATTCTGAAGACTGTGAGTCATCATACAAGTGAATATAGCCTATTTATTTAAAAAAGAAAAGCAACATAAGAAGAAATAAAAGTTTTTATTAATTTGAAACTTTGCAAATGTAAAATTTTGTTACCTGTAAGTTTCTAATTTTACAGCTATTTCTGGTTCTTTGGGCTTATTTAGTGTTTTTGTATTAATTATTCCCCTTGAGAGGCTTAAGATACTCTCAATTAGGGATTTTAAGATACAGTCTATTCATAATATGTTCCTAAATCCTATTTGTTTCAAACTTTTGCTAATTATTTTTCTTTTAAACTGTTTTATACCCTGGACTTATTACCTTGTAAGTTAAGATTTTGTGCATAGTACACCTTCCAATCATATTTAGCACTTTAAATCCCTACTATAAACATCTAAAGGGGCACTAGAAAGACATATTGATAACATGCAGATACTTATTGGTATGTAAAATATATATCCAAGTGTACATTTTTAATTTCTTTATTTAGACTGGATTTTACTTTCTTTATTTGAATGTGAAGTAAACACTGGACTTTTTGGTAACTTTTCAGAACTTTTCTTATTTTAGAATGGATGTGTGAATATTTTATAGATTCATTTAAAAGTGATACCATTTATAATGTTTTCTTAAATGCTAAAATGTATTTTAAAATTTGTTTTACATACATGGTGTATTCTTTATACTCTTAAAAAGAAAGCTATATTCTACCAGGTCTTTCAAATTTAAGCTAAGGAGGTAGTACTGATAAAATAGACCAAAATGCAGATACTTTACTTGTGGTCCAAGTGACCTAATATGGTTTAAAGACAATTTCTTAAAACACTGTTGCTATTTATTTAGATTATAAATGTCAATTTAATGATATTGCTATTTATTTTAAGAAATACTGGTAACCTTGATTCATATTCATCTGTCATCAGTGATATTCATACCATTCTTTAATGCCAAGTAAAATAGAGTTACTTTACTTCTTCCATACTTTAGTAAAGGAAATTTCTCTCTACCTCCTTTCATTCTATGCTCATATTTTTCAGAGTTAAGATAGTTTAGAATTCTAAATGGATATATAGAAATCCATTTTTAAAATAATTACATTTTTGACACACAATCTATGGGGTCAAACCACAAACATATTTGAGAGTTCCATCAGATACTCAGTAATTTTAGACAGCCCACGTAACGTGGAACAATAAACTATTCTGATATTAGTGAAATAACTTTTGACTCCCTTCTGTGTTGTAACTCAAACTTTGGTGGGCTTTAAATATTCCTAGATATCCGTGGAATACAAGAGTTTTTGGACAAAGTGTCTCAGCAAGGAATGGACGTTGCACTTCAAAAGGTAGAAAACAACATCAATAAAATGATCACCACTCTCTTTGATACCATGAGGATAGAGGAATTGAATCGCTATCGAGACACTCTTAGGAGAGCCATCCTTGTTATGAATCCTGCCACAGCCAAGTCCTTCATTAGTGAGGTAAGTAAAAATCATCATGCAGTGGGGGTATGGTGGAAAAACTAAATACTTTGGAATGAACCCTGCAGAGGAGTGAAAGTTAAGAGCAGAGTGAGGGAATTAGCTGCTCAACTCTCATTAACACTAATGGAGGAAGCACAGCGAATTCTTTGCACATCACATTTACCCCATACTGTCCAGTTAATTGCTGAGAATGTTTGTATTTATGTATATTTAGGCACAAAGCCAGGACAATTTTAAGAAATCTTATGAGGGTTGAAAAGTGCTGTTGACCTGAATAGATCTATCAAGGTAACGAATGAATTCACAAGGGTACAGCTAACTAATACTTAAATTTGCAAGTTAAAATTTTACTTCTGAGAAAAGATTTACTTGAATAGAATGTGATTGCCTAAACATGATTACTTAAAAAAAAAAATATAACAGATTTACTTTTGCTCTGGGAACTCTGTACGAAGACAAGTAATTAAAACTGCATGAAACTAAGCAAAGTGATGACCATTGCACATTTTATGATGCCACATCCTCAACTTTTTAACTGTGGCTGCTAATTTGGTTAGAAGATTTAAAGCTCTGTAAATACAGGACTTTCCAGTGATTGCTGTTACATCTCTTTATTCCGAAATGCTTGTGATTATCTTGCAAAGGATTATTATCAAGCCATTTTAGCCTTACTTCCATTTTAATTTTGTCTAGTAATAGAACTGATCATGACATTCATATGTCACATGGTGTTTCTAAGTTTGGTGACTATATTTTGTTCATACTTTTTTCCTCACTTCAGCCCTATGGTTTCTTTACCTTCTAAGTCCTGTTATAAATTAAGAAGTGTTAGAAGTTCTTTGATGCTCTGTAATAGAATTGTTTTCAAGAATCTTGAAGCAAAATATAAATCACAGAATGGTAAACCTTATGGAAACTATCAGAAATATCAATTTTTTATTTTAACACAGAATGTTATTATGCAGTTATGGATAAATATAGAACTTTTACATTTTGAGTTTATAAAATAACTTAATATCATCAAACGTTAGATTTTTCCACAATTGAAAGAACACTTTTAGTTTTAGAATTGATTCTTTCAAGAAACACAAAATATTCTAGAATATTAAAAGCAAGTATGAAGATATTTAATATAAATCAAAATGGAAAAACTGCAGTAAATGAAGTAGCAGCATCAGTGGTCACCAGTGAAGACTTCATTCACTTTGTATCTTGCGTAGGAATTCACAAAAGTGTTATAATAAGACAAGTGTAAGTCCATCTCAGCTCCTTTCTTGTTATGAGTCATGGAAAAATTACTTAATATTTCTGAGTCTCCATCTTGTTATCAGTAAAATGAGAATAAGATTGGTTTAAGCAGATTAATAGAATAATGTAGATTAATAAGATATCCTATGGAGTATATTAAAAAGTGGTGCTAGGCAGGGAGAGACCTGGCAGTTAGTAAATATTCAAGAGATAGAAACTTCTAGATCACTTTGTCTAGGGGAAAAAAATGGACAAAAAGTGCCTGCGAATGTGAAAATTATGTCAAGATGAGCACACACCCCTTCATTGTATGCTCAGAGTAAAGTTTTGTGTAGATTAATAGCGGGATGCATGAGGAAGAGCAGTAGTATATACTGTTGAAATGAGAATTTTTACCCCAGATGGCAAAGGCCCTGTGCCAGGGCAACAGTTGATCTCTCTTTAATGAACATTTAGAAGCAATGGGCTGAGAATGGGGGATGGCATGCTCAGACTTTCCTATTGAGAACTGACAGCTGGGGAGCCATGAGGTGGAATGGTTCCCTTTCAGACAGAGAAGATGGAACTGATGGTGGTGGGACACAAATCCATAGGAGTGAGAGTCATTCAGGGGCAGACTGTCAAGAGTTCAAGTGGCCAGGAAATGGAAAATCAGAGAATGTGGAGTTTTTAACCTGGATTCCAGGAGATGATGGTATAGTACTGGTTTGTTAGAGCTTCCATTACAAAATACTACTAACCAGGTGTCTCAAACAACAGAAAATTATTGTCTCCCAGTTCTGGAAGCTAGAAGTCCGAAATCAAGATATTAACTAAGTTGGTTCTTTCTCAGAACTCTGAAGGAAGGAGATGTTCCAGACCACCCCCCCACCCCTCCTCTCTCTCTCTGGCGGGTAGATGGCTTTCTTCTCCTTAAGTCTCTTCAGATCATCTTCCATCTGCATGTCTGTCCAAACTTCCCCTTTGAAATGACACCACTCATTTTGGATTAGGGCTCACCCTAATGACCTCATTTTCACTTGATTACCTCTGTAAAGGCCTTATATCCAAACAGAGTCAAATTCTAAATATTGAGTGTTAGGACTTCAGCATGTGAATTCTGCATGGTAGATGGCAATGAAAACAATGATTTAACCCGTAACAGATGTCATTCTTGGTTAGGAGCAAACAACCTTATTTGCTCACAGAGGAAGGATTTAGAGTTCAATTTGAAACATATGGTGTTTGAGCCAAAGTGTCCTACCCAGGTGATTATAACTGTATTTTAACAATTTTGTTCCTAACTCCTCTTACTATTTACTGTTTTTCTCCCTACTTATTAATTTCTAAGGTTTTTATAAACAATAAACTCATTTCATTCTCATACAAAAACCTTTGAGTTGGTATTGTCATTATCCGTGGTTTATTATAAATTAGGCACTCAAATGTTAATTAATTAGTCAAGATGACACAACTAATAAGAGGTAGTTCTGGAACTGATTCCAAGTAGTCTGTCTCCAGAGCCTGTGTGCTTAATCATAGTTCTCAAAAAGGGTGGTTGCAAGTGCACAACTTGAGTTCAGGAGAAAGATCAGGGTTAGAGATGTCAGTTTTTTAAAAGCAATAAAGATTGATTTATTGTCCAGTTTAACCTACATCCTGTGCTAGGCTGTAGCAATGCTTATGAAGATCCAGTACCTCTCTTCAGGTTTCTAGTCTGGTACCAGGGAAGGAAATAGAATGTCAGCATTAGAGGATGCAGTAAGGGCAGGTCTCACATCCATCTGGAGCTACAGGGCCACCTGTAGTAGTGTGGAACCACCTCAGATCCAGTTTCAGTGGTAAAGTGTGTGGTTGTGGAATTATTGAGGAAGGAGCTTGGGTCCCAAAGGGGGTGCGGCTTGATTGAGCATTAAAAGACATATGGAATTGGATTAGGCAAAGAAAGGAGAAGAATACAACCCAAGAAGCAGGAAAATCGGAAAATAGGGGAAAGTGGTGGAGCAAGATTACAAAGGGCCAGGGAAATAATGGATGAAGGTGGGTGTGCTGAGCACTCTGTTTAGAGGTTTGGTAATGAAAGTAAAGACAAATTATGGATAATTAAAAAAAAAAAAACCTATATGTTGAATACCAGCAACAGAAAAAAATGGCTCATTTTTAGGAAAAAAAAAATTATTGAGCCATTTTATATAGGCCTTGGTATACCAAGCAGTTAAAAAGTATAATTGTAGAATGAAGAGGGAACATTGATAAGACTCTGGTGGTAGAATTTGTGAAACTTTGCCAGGGAAGGACTACCCATGACCAATAATCTAGAATTACTATTTCAAAGGTAGATGGAATTATTTTAGACTTGTAAAAATTTTTTTTTCTTTGACCATCCTTGTATTTCTCATAATCCATTCAACCAATATGATTTTGACTTATATTCTTATTTTGGCCCCCTCTCCTAGACTCTCAAATACTTGTAATAAGTTATTGCTTCCATCTTTGTTCCCAAACACATAACATCTATGTATGTGATTTTTCTTGAGAGACTTTTCTGCTTTCCTCTACTCAGTCACCATTTTTTCCCCTAAATTCTTTATAATCACTAATTTTTGTCTCCAAGCTGTGAACAAATTTATTCCATAGTTACTATGATTTAAATATGAGATATCCCCCCAAAGCTTCTTTGAATCCAGGAATATTCAGAGGTGAAATGATTAGATTATGAGAGCTATAACCTAGTCAGTCCATACTACTTTGAATGGAATGACTGGGTGATAACTGTAGGAAGGTGGGGCATGGCCAGAGGAGATGTCACTGGGGTGTATGCTAGAAGCCTGAATCTTCTCTGTGACCCCGACCTCACTTACTACTTTCCTGAGGCTGCCATAAACTGAGTAGCTTTCCTCCACTGGATCCTTTTCTCATGATGTTCTGCCTCATTTTGGGCCCAGAACAATGGAATTGGCCATCTGTAGGCTAAGACCTCAGAAACCACAAGATCCAAATAAACTTTCTCCTCTAAATTGTTCTTGTCAGGTGTTTTGGTCAGAGAGACCCCAAAACAAACAAACAAACAAAAACAAAAATCTAACTAAAAAAAAAAATCTAACTATAAATCAACAGTTATCTCACACAGTGATATAGGAATGACAGAAAGAATGTGAGCCACCTCCACATCAACCTAAACTAGCTATACTTTTCTGATCTGCATGGTTTTTCCTGTTTCCCAATGAGCTGTTTTCAGACACTGTCCAGCTTGTTTCTGCTTTCTTATGGGTCCTAGGAGTCCTTCCCCTGCTCCGAGAATAGGCTGACCCTATCTCTGCTGGAAGCAGTTCACAGAAACAGCAGGCAGCTCTGAATTCAAAAGAATGCACTCAGGTTCTACAGACACAAAGAAAAATAGTACCTGACCTAGAGAATTGCTCAGTGCAGTGGAAGAGGCAGTCATATAACTAAATAATAAAATGTAAAAGAAAAACGCTGTCCTAGTGATGGGTAAATGGGATTCCTAGAATCTGGTAAGAGAATTGACTCTGCTGAAAAGTTGACATGGTCAGGACAAGTTTCACAGAGAAGTTTCTTCT